GAAAGGGGTTAAATTTTACATGGTTTTTCCCCCACCAGGCTCACTCGGCGAGGAGAACTCTCCTCCTCCTTTTTGCCGTCATTGGCTGAATATGCATGCGCGGCAGGAGCCACGCGCGCATTCAGTCAGTCCATACAAAAGCATTCTCAATGCTTTCCTATGGACAATGGCGTCTTCTCACTGTGAAAATCACAATGAGAAGCGCGGAAGCGCCTCTAGCGGCTGTCAATGAGACAGCCACTAGAGGCTGGATTAACCCTATTGTAAACATAGTAGTTTCTCTGAAACTGCTATGTTTACAGCAGGAATGGTTAACCCTATATGGACCTGGCACCCAGACCACTTCATTAAGCTGAAGTAGTCTGGGTGCCTATAGTGGTCCTTTTTAAGATCTCTATGCACTCACTAGTGCATAACTCCCAACATTTCAAATGGTCGAAGAGGTACCCTTCAATTTGAAGGGTGTGTGTGGAGGAGAGAGGGCAGAGGCAAGCTGAATTAGATACATTCCTTATAACAATATATGCTACTAAAATGTAATTTTGAACAGGAACAATGTTTACAGACTGAATTGTAAATATATTTTTTGTATTTGAAAGGAAATCAATGAGATTTATTTCTGTGGAGCTTTGTTACATACTCACATCAACAATTTGGAGCTCCTAGAAAATAGGGATATTGGGATAGAAAAGAGGATCATATGGATCTGGGCACAGAGTAAAGACTATTGCTCAAAAATAAGGACACTTGGGAGGTATGTAACAGGGGTGGCACAGTGGCTCTGCGAATTGTAATTTAGGAACTGGAGTTATAATATATGAACTGCTCTCTACACCCCAAAACTGTTTAAAACCCTACTTTTCAGTCTGACCCCTATTACTAGATAACGCTCTGCTTCCTTACACACTCTACATTTAAATATTAAGAAGGAATAATTTCAAGTTAGTCTTCACCACTACTACCATTGTTTTTTCATGTACAATATCTGATCATAGCCCCACAGACTATATTAAAACAAAAGTCTTAACTTGTTTTATTTCCAAGAGTAAAATTATGCAGATTATATAATGTTTGTTTAACTTCAATATAAAAGAAACAAAGCTGGATTCCTCTCAGCAATTCAGGATATTTACAGGTATTTGTAAGTAGCTTTATGGATTTAGGAATTAAAACTATTAGCGATCACAGTATTAAACTTTTTGTGTTTTTCCTGGCACAGTTCCATTGCCTGTTCTGAGAAATTTGAGGGGACTTATTAATAACCATTAATGCAACTAAAATGTAATTTAGAGCAAGAAAAATATCTTATTCACACAGACTTAATTCTAAACACATTTATTGTGGTTTTTAAATGTACTTTATTGAGAGTATTATTGCTGTGGAGCGCTCTTATACACTCAGGCACACCAACAATATGGAGCTCCTAGAAAACTGGTACAAAGGGATTTGTGTCCAAAATAGGAGCAGTCACTCCTAAATAGGAACAACTGGCACTCCCCAAAGGGAATTTCTACTTCCCAGGACTAAATGTCTTTCATTTGGATAGAGAAGGCCAGTTTTCAGCTAATTTTCACTGAATTCCTGGAATGGCTGTGCTTTCCTGTGTCCCAATGTCAGTGACCGATATTTCAGTCAGGATGACCCATTAGCCAGGAAAACTATTTTGTTTCAGATGATAATGCCTAGACTTCCCAAACAGCAGATACAATTCATTTCACAGGGATTGAGTGGAAACATGACCAAACAAACAAAAAAAATCTAATTAAAAGTAAAAATGTTACACTAAAATTATTTTTTCTCCCTACCCCCTGTTATTTGGATGATTTCATGAACACCTCTGAAGACACAGAAAAAAGGGGGAAAATGCATTATAAGGTGGCAGCAAGTACTTGATTGAAATGGTGAAGGATAAAGTAACTTTTACATCACTTGGAACATTTCTCAGATCAACTGCTAATGTGTGGTCACATCATGCAACTGGGGTGACAACAGATGATATGAATACAAGAGCATGTTTGGCCAATATTAAGCCTCATGTTATTTTTATGAATTGCAGAACGCAACGGGGTTTTCCTTGCAAAGGATGATTACATGCTAAATAAGTGCTCATTGTTGTATTGATTTATGGGCAAACAAGGATAAACTATTTCAAAATATATGAAGCGTTAACTAAAAACCAACCCTTGGCCTGCCAACGAATAGATTGTAACTTGTGAGGCAAAGATGTATTACTGGCTTTGGCAGTCTATTTAGAATAATTTTAAAACAAGGTTATTCTGTTAAAGGAACCATTTGAGCACCAAAACAACATTTAGCTTAAAGGACCACTATAGGCACCCAGACCACTTAAGCTCAATGAAGTGGTCTGGGTGCCAGGTCCCTCTAGTTTTAACCCTGCAGCTGTAAACATAGCCGTTTCAGAGACAGCCACTAGAGGCTGCTTCCACGATTCTCAGTGTAAAAACCACACTGAGATGACGATGTTTGAAAGCGCGCACAGCTCTTGCCGTGCATGCGCATTCGGAGCTGACATCAGAGGAAGGAGAGGTCACCAGCGCAGAGGGAGCCCGGCACTGGGTTAAGTTAAGTGGCTGAAGGGATTTTAACCCCTTAAGCCCAGCGGGAGGGGAGCCCTGAGGAGGGGTGGGGGGACCTAATAACCCTATAGTGCCAGGAAAATAAAGTTTGTTTTCCTGGCACTATAGTGCTCCTTTAATGAAAAAGTTGTGGTGTGTGGATTTATAGATCATGCCCCATGCAGTGTTGCATTGTTGTCACAGCCAGGGGAGGTGTGGCTAGGGCTGCCTAAAGAGAAACAAAGTGATTTAACTCCTAAATGACAGTGAATTGAGCAGTGAAATTGCAGGGGGATGATCTATACACTAAAACTGCTTTATTAAGCTAAAGTTGTTGTTGTTTTGGTGCATATTGTGTCCCTTTATTCTCAAATCACAACATCTAAATCTGTGCAAATTTAATAACAAACACTGATTGGATGACATAGGCGAGCAGAGATGTGCTCTGGGACTAGGTGCTTAATAAGACACCTGCTATAAAGCTTAACACAGTATGAAATCCAGTGTAGAATACGCAGGTATGTGTAACCTGCACAATGTCATACATCCCGACACATGAATCATTAGAGTTCCCAGAAATGTCAATAACGTAGCGTGTTTTAGTTTCTGTTCCTGTGTAAGAGCAACTCTGTTCCTCACCATATTTCTCAATGCGACTGGCAGGCGTAACTTTTGAGTAGTTTTATTTGCATAATTTCTGCCAATGCAGCAAGACTTATTGACTGCTAATGACCTATAAATATGTGCTTTTTGAAACTTGTGATTTATCCATTGTGCCAGAGTTAGAAGGAAGTGCCAAATATGTGTGGAAACGTTACAGTGAAGAATACTCTTTAATAAATAATTAAAAATAATGTATACATTCTGAACAAAAATATTCTAGCAAAAATTATGCACTTGCATTACGTGTAGAGCAGAGTTAATGGGGGACTTTGTAAATATGCAAAGTAACAGAAGTGACTCTAAAATTCTCCTATATTTCCTATATTAGATAGGAGTGTTCTAGGCTCCCACAAGATTAGTGCAATATGTAAGTTAGGCAACCGTTATACTGGATCAATGTTTTCCCTCATACTTTAGGTTTTTCTTAACCCCCTAAGGACAAAAATAAAAGGGAATAACGTCTGTGTTAATTTTTTTTTTTTTTTTTTATTAACTTTTTATTTTCCTTATGGACACAATACTTGTCCTGATTCAGCTAGTCTCAAAATGAGCTAGAGAATTTTAGAAATTGTGTGTTGTTTGATGCGCTGCATGTTGCACACTGACTCTATATAGCACAGGGATTTTTCACCTTTGCAACCCCTGCTGGAGAGGACTAAAATCCCCATGATTCTGTTCAATATAGACCACAGAATATCTTGCAAAGCAAGGGGTGAAGCAAAATTTAGCCAGTAAAGGAGTTTAAGCATGCGTGGGATAGGCATAAGGCTATTCTAACTATAAGATAAGGCCAGGGACTAATGAAAGTATTTAGAAAATTGGGCAGACTAGATGGGCCGAATGGTTCTTATCTGCCATCACATTCTATGTTTCTATGTTTCTATCTCTGATTTAGTGCACTACAGCAGATGAATTGTAATGAACTAGTTGTCTTATATTGGGTCTAAGTACCTCCTTCTTCTTTGATGGGGGAGTTAATACATCCTGCTTTTAGAGAAAGGAAAAGTGTGTGATACTTTCCACCTATGCATATGTTTGAAGTCCCACATGTTGTAATGCTTGTATCACTCAGACATCTGCAGATGGCCAGCCACTTCACATATTCCATTATAATCTTTGGAAACTGTTACTACCCATATTAAATGTTCTTATAGTGTGTATTCTTTTGTAAAACATCAATTTGTCATGTAAATAGATTCTTTGAAAGGTCACCTTTAGACCAATATTGTGTTGTGATATTGATGGTGTTGGGGTTGTGTTGTATCTCATCTCCTTCTAGCTTTATTGTATTCTATTGTGTTCTCTTTAGAAGTCTAGTTCTGCTCAAATCTGTCAACTACACTGAAAAGTCAAAATAGTTCTTACCTGCCGATATTACGCCAATATTTTGTTTTTAATTTTCTGTTTTTTTGTTTTTTTTCTCCTTCTCCTCCCTAGATGTGGAACAGATGGCAATTGACTGGTTAACAGGCAACTTCTACTTTGTAGATGACATTGATGACCGTATATTTGTCTGCAATAGAAATGGAGACACTTGTGTCACCCTTCTCGACAGAGAACTCTACAATCCCAAGGGTATTGCCTTAGATCCAACCATGGGGTAAGAAGACCTCCACAAAAAGCTTTGTCTCGCATTACAAAGAAGTCCTGACAGCATAGTCATGTTGGCTAGATTGACATTCTGGATTAGTAATGAGGGAGTGAGGGGGGGCGAAATACATGGGGTGAATAAAAAGTACAATTTAGAGGACCACATAAAAATGTAAAATACCGTATTTACTCGAATCTAATGTGCCATTGAATCTAATGCGCATTGAAATTTTGGAAACTTTATTTTCCAAAAAAGGTGTGCATTAGATTCGAGTAAATACGGCATATGAGACTAGATTTGTTTGAGCTGCTGGTGACATTTCTTTTTCTAGACCAGAAGTAACCAATGAACTTTTCTAAATATGATTTTGAAACTCCAAAAAATATAGGCTAGTAAAGCATAATGGCCAAAGTAGTTATACAACAGATTAAATCTAGTTCCTTTTTATCTTGATCATTAAAAAAATAGCCTATATATGGGGGACATTGGCTTCCCTTAGCAGCATATTCCAGTAATAGGAAGTAGATTTGTCATTAGTTTCACTTTAAGTTAGGTTCTTTAACCATAATGTGACATTAAAGATAAAATTAGTATTTTTACTTTTTTTATGTGCATCCCTCAATGAACTATGTCTGAAATATTAAACAAAAATTGCCTGGAGGGATCTCGAGACACTAAGGATAAGAAAAATAAAATTTTTATTTTAATTTTTAATTTGTTTTTTTAAACTTTGTTTGTTGGCTTTGAGTAATATGATGACTGGATTTTTTTCTTTGCTTTAACTCAGGAATTGCTGTTTTGCTGTGCACAATATATATTTATATTTTAATGCTATATTTGTAAGAGGTTTTTTAATTTTTACATATTTACAAAAGGAATAGGCCATTGAGTAGCATAGTGTGAGAGTGAGCACAAGTTTAGACATTTTGAGTAGTTTTATTTTTCTGCGCTGGCATTGGATCATTGTTTTGTTTTTGTTTTTTATGAGGAGCGTTCAGCATCTCCATGCAGAGTATGTGCAGCACTAACTCAGGAAGCACCTCTACTGGCTGTCTGACTAATGTTCCTAGGGAGCAATGTAAACACTGCCTTTTCTTCTGAAAACCTTTAACACCTGTGATGCACAGGTCGCCCATCACTGAGAATTTTAACCCCTTAAGGACTGGACTGTTTTTGCGATGTTGTACATTTGCGACCAGGCCTCTTTTTTTACACTTTTGTGGTGTTTGTGTTTCAGGACAAAAGGGGCTTTCTTTACATACCATTATTTACCGTATTTTTCGCTCCATAAGACGCACTTTTTTTCCCCTCAAAAGTGAGGGGAAATGTCTGTGCGTCTTATGGAGCGAATGTGAAGATTTACTTACCTGTCTAGGAGCGTGGGCAGGCTTCACAGCGCGCTCCGCGGTCCAGGAACTTCTATTTCAGGTTCCGGTTTCCGGCGGGACTGAAAGGAGGTGCACACTCAGTGTGCACACTTCCTTTCAGTCCCGCCGGAAACCGGAACCTGAAATAGAAGTTCCTGGACGGCGGAGCGCGCTGTGAAGCCGGCCCACGCTCCAAGACAGGTAAGTAATTATGGGACAATGGGAGGGGAGACACTATGGGACGAGGGGAGGAGGGACACTATGGGAGAAGGGGAGGGGGACACTATGGGAGAAAGGGAGGGGGAGACACTATGGGAGAAGGGGAGGAGGACACTATGGGAGGGAAAGTGCACTATGGAACAATGGGAGGGGACACTAATGGACAAGGGTAGGAGGGGTTAAAGAACACTATGGGACAGAGGAAAGGGGGGTTAAAGATCATTATGGGACAGGGGAGAAAAAAAAATATTCTGAACAAACTGTCCCATAGTAAGAAACACTATGGAACAGTTTGTTCAGAATATTTTTTTTTTCTGGGTTTCCTCCTCTAAAAACTAGGTGCGTCTTATGGTGAGGTGCGTCTTATGGAGCGAAAAATACGGTATATAATCTCATGTAATTTAATTTAAAAAAATTAAAATATGATGAAAAATTGAAAAAAAATACATGTTTTTTGACTTTTACTTGAAAAATCTCTTACTCATCTACAAAAGCGAATGAAGAAAACTGCTAAATAGATTCAAAATTTTGTCCTGAGTTTAAAAATACCTAGTGTTTACATGCTTTTTTGCTTTTTTTTTTGCAAGTTATAGGGCTAATAGGTACAAGTAGGATATTGCGGTTTCAAAACATACATTTTTACAATTTATCAATAGTGACATTGTAACACTATTATCTGTCATAAATCTCTGAATAACACCCCACATGTACATATTTTTTTTTAAGTAGACAACCCAGGGTATTTAATATGGGGTATCTCCAGTCTTTTTTAGTAGCCACTTAGTCGAAAACACTGGCCAAAGTTAGCATTCATATTTGTTTGTGTGTGAAAAAAGTAAAAAACTAAATTGAATGCTAATTTTGGCCAGTGTTTGTGACTAAGTGGCTACTAAAAAAGACTGGACATACCCCATTTGCAATACTTTGGGTTGTCTTCTTTTGCAAATGGTATGCCATTATGGGGGTAATTCTCATTCCTGGGCTACCATACGCTCTCAAAGGCAACATAAGCAACCTGGCCTTTTTCAATGTAAAAATAGTTGACTCATATATTTGACCCTGTTACTTTAAAAAACGCTATAAAACCTGTACATGTTATACTCGGGAGACTTTTCTGAACACAAATATTAGTGTTTCAAAACAGGAAAACGTATCACAACAATTATATCATCAGTAAAAGTGCTGTTTGTGTGTGAAAAATGCAAAAAAAGTCACTTTCACTGACAATATCATCGCTGTGATATGTTTTACTGTTTTGAATCACTAATATTTGTGTTCAGCGAAGTCTCCCGAGTAAAACAGTACCCCCCATGTACAGGTTTTAGGGTGTCATAGAAAGTCACAGGGTAAAATATAGTGCTAGCAAATTAAATTCTCTGGACTTTCGGCCTGGGTTGGCAGGCAGGTCCCTCAAATTGCAATCAATAAAATGACTTAATTATGTAAACATATTACATAAATACGCACGTAGAATTTAAATATATATGCATATTTATATATTTGAAGTCTATGTGTATATTTCTATAATTATTTATGGAATTTTGTATATGGACATATGCATATTTCGTATTTATATATACATAGATATATATATATATATATATATATATATATACAATTTCATTCTAAGTGTATTTTGATATAAATATATTTTACTATCAAAATAGTTAGACTACAATTTCATATAGATATATATATTTTTAAATTTTTTAATCATATTTTTACGTTTTTATTTAATTTAAATTACTTATTTGTATTTTATACTATTTATATACAATATATATAGTTATTATATATATTCTATATATACGTGTGTAATTTGAAGTGTATTTTTATATTAATATATGTACATATTAATATAAAAATACACTTAGTATGACATTATATATATAAATTATTTTTTTATTAACATTAACAGTTATTTATTATTTTTTTTATGATTTTACACATGCAGGGAGACTGCCTGTCAGCACAGACAGTCCCCCTGCAGGCAGACACATGGATACCTATTGTGACCATGTGATCGCTCTGTTTAGCTTTATATTGTGAGAATCACAAGACCCAGACCTATGTTTTGATGCGTAGTATGTCTCTGAAGTATTAAAAATGAAGGCACAGTCGCAGTTTAGAAATTGCACTTCAAATTTGAGCTTTGTAGTGTGAAGTTTCAATGAATGTCAATGGACGGCGTTAGATGCAAACAAATGATTATATTGTGAAAACTATCAGGACTATGACTTAGCCGTTGACATGTTTATTGGCAGGAGGGATAGCTGAACGTTTTGATATAAGATTTGTGTAGGTGGGCCTGAAAATAAGGGAGTGGTGGCAGTTTAGAAATCATGTCCTGATTTTTCAGCTTTTGCCAGCTCCACTCTAGCTTTGCCATTCATTCCTATGGGACAAATTTCGCCACAAGAACGACGATATTCCGTGAACCATTCGGCGAAACGTTCCACAAAGTAATAGCAATCCGATCGGGAACAATCTGCACGTTTTGGTAAATTTTTGTCTATGTAGTGTAAAAACTGTGGGAGGAGTTAGGGTAGCAAATTTGGCTATAATAAGAATAAGAAAAATAATATATATGTGAGATAACATTAAGTGGTCTTGCTATGCAAGAACACTTAATAACCCAATAACAGGCTGACACTTCCTCCCAGCCGGCCAACATTACAGGGCCCTGGTCCTTTAAGACCACGGCACCGGACCAGCTCCTGCTCAGCTGTTATGTCTCCTGATGCTATAATAATAGCACTGGGGAAACAGTTTGGGAACCGCTGCTCTATATCATAAATAATGTGTAAATAATCCATATTAACAGAGGAAAAAAATATGAGATCTAGAAATTAAATATATTGAAACAAATATCTTCTTCTGGCTGGTTCTATTCTCCCAGTGCCTCCGCTCCTGAAGTCTATGTCACTGCTGTACTCTAACGTATGCACTTGAATACAGAATTAAGGTCCATGGAGGATCCTGCGACACTGCGGATTTCTCTATAGATAAAGCCAATATCTTTGCAGCGGTCACTGGTTATAGCTGAGAGATTGCCATTTTGGATTGCGGTAGCTCCGCTCAGTGTCTAGAACTTTCAGAAGTAGCAAATACACCGGGACAACATAGTCCCTACTTTGTCTCAGTATATCTTTTGACTGGGTTGGAAATTTAGTAGGTGTGGTGAAAGTGTAGCTTTATAATTGCTAAAACATTCTTTATCAGTACCTGGAATGCTAATGTAATGCGAACAGTTAAATGTCCAGTCACTCCCCCTCTTTCCCTTACCGTAGGAATGATATGACCCACTAAAAGTTAATTTATAGTTTGGAAGCAGGGTGTGAGATGACATTTTCAGCAAATGTGCAGGTATATAGCATAAGTCCAAGTGACGTAGATACCAATATATATACAGTGAGGGGACAAAATAATTGATCCCCTGCGGATTTTAAACGTTTGCCCACTGACAAAGAAATGGTCAGTCTATAATTTTAATGGCAGGTGTATTTTATCAGTAAGAAATAGAATAATAAGAAAAATTCGGAAAAACACATGACAAAAAAGTTATACATTGATTTGGATGTCAATGAGTGAAATAAGTATTTGACCCCTTCGACTTAGTACTTGGTGGCAAAACCATTATTGGCAATCACAGAGGTCAGACGTTTCGTGTAGTTGGCCACCAGATTTGCACACATCTCAGGAG